GCTTTCAATATCATATGAAACTGTCACCCGAAGAGCTTCACTTATACCAATTGTAGAAAAAGAAGAAATTACAAACAATTTTGATAAATGTGTTGGATATGGAATTTCAACAGATTCTTCAACATACGGTGATCATTATCTCTCTCTTTATGCAAGATTTGTTTATAAAGATTGTACATTCGAAGAAAAAAGGATAAGTATTTGCAGATATTACGATTCGAAAAACGCGATTAACTGGACAAAGTGGATCGATAAAATTGTGTGTAGTGTTTACAATTCCAATTTTTCAAAATTGTGTTCATTTTGTGGTGATGGAGATATAACATTGAAAAGTAATGATAATGGTGTCGCAGGAAAACTTACTGAAATTGTTGAAAGAGATGGAGGCTTGGTCGAGTGTTTTTTGGATAATTATTGTTGTGACCATAGATTAAACATATCAAGCAAAACTGTATTTGAAAGTGGTTATGGGTACATTGTTGACAAATATTTGAGTGAAATACCCAAAGAACAAAATCGAAATTTGTTAATTCAGTATATTACTCATTACGACTTGAAAGGTGTAATGAACAAAGTAAGCCGTCTTAGTGAAACAAGATTTCTTTACACTGTTTTGGTATCAAATTGGGTGTTTGAATATTATGAAGAATTTGTAAATTTTATATTGTTGTCTGGTGTTGAACAAAACATCTCCAAAAACATACCAAACAACAGTGAACTTGGTGTGGTGTCTTTTACAAATCCAGTATTTGTAGGTGTTGTATATTTTGTCAATGTGTTAATGACAGAAATGAAAGCTCTGAGTGACTGGTTACAAACTGATGGCCTTTTGTTTTTTATGGCTTTTAAAAGGATAGAATTGTATATCAAACATTTATTTGATATACGAGTTTTAATTAAAAATGGCGACTTTAAATACTTCAAAAAGTATTTGTACGGTGGAATCATTGATCCAAATGAAAGAGAACGTATCATTGATCGTAATGAAAGATATACAAAGTTTCTCTCAAATTTGTA